CTACATTGCGTAACCGTTACGGTCACTACTGGAAACTCGCTGTAGTACCGACCGAGTGTAGCGGTCACGTGAGGCAGAGTTTACTTTAATTGCTGTTTTCTTTAAAAGTAGCAGGAAGTAGCAGCTAATTCTTTTTGCTTCTGAAAGAGAAAGGTTCTCCCTTTTATATGATACTAATGATATCTCGGGAATGTACGGGAATCGTTTTCAAAAACTTAGGTAAAGTTAAAATTTTAATTCGGTGTACTTTCTTTTTTTTAAGTGTTATTATTTAACAAGTTTTAATCCCATATACCCTAATAATTTTTTACTTAGCATTCACTTCTATTTCCAACTACAAGATTGAATTTTATCCATTACAATTAAAAAACTAAAGGTAACGTTCATATCTGTTTAGTTTCGTCGTGGTAATGAGTATACCAATTGCAATTAGTTTCTTCTCGGAAAACATAATAAAATTAAAAGCAGAGAGACACGTGGTGTTTTATTCGTTATTCTTTTTCTCATGGTATGGGTGTGGAAATGTGCATTGTTAACTGTATCGAGTGAAACATCTGAGGTACGGAAAAGAAAAGACAGTCACCTACTGATTAACCTATTTCCACTATTAAAACATGTGTGTATTCATTTTTAAGTAACCGAATTCTTTTCTTTCATATTTATTAACATATTTGATGTGAACACAAAGTATATAACATATAGCTAAGATATTCAACACACTGTTCTTTATATGTAAATATTTCGTCACTCTCTAGATTAATATATTTTATATTAATATAACTTAAAGGCCATAATGTCCAAATATCAATATCTCCAAATATCATTAAAATATCTCCAGTAGAACTAAAGTTACAGATTTTTGATCGCTGAGAGCCGTTTTGTCCCACTGTGCGGCGGTGGTGTGTGTTACGAAACCGGATAACGAACGCATTAGGCGGACAGATTGGAAGGCAAGTACATCGCGCAATTGCGTAATTTGTAAAAAGGACAATCACGCGCCGCCGAAATGTTTGTTTCTCGCACGGGAACCAGTGACTAGGCGCTGGGAGTTAGTAAAGAAACATAATTTGTGTTTCGGCTGCTTAAAACCCGGCCACAGGAGAAATGAGTGCAGGGGTGTAGAGTGCCCATTCTGCCAACGACGACACCATAGTCTTCTCCATAAACATGCGGACGCGGAGGCGGGAACCAAAGAAAAGTCGCGCGAAACTGCGGCGGGCAGAAACGGGGCTTCGCGTCAAGTTTATGTCGCGCACGATAATAACGAGAACGAAGACAACAGCAATGCGAAAAGTTGACTAGAAGAACCGAATATTTTATTGAAAATTATTCCGGTACGCGTTCGCGGTCCGAAACGATCGACGGACACGTTCGTGTTACTAGATGAGGGTTCCACGGTTACGCTAATTGATGATAAGTTAGCACGTGACATAGGCGTAGAAGGATCGCAAATAAATTTATCGATTAGAGGCATAAACGAGAACGAAATATTGATGCCGAATTGTAAGAAAGTAACCCTCGACGTAATCGGTGTCTTTGGCACATACAATATTTGCGGCGCGATAATCACGAGAAATTTGAAACTTCCCTCCCCATCGATCAGCCGAGATAGTGTTTTGCGTGTCAATAAACTTGTCAAAGATGTGGAAATGCAGCCTTGCCACGGAGCGAATGCGAAAATATTGATAGGCCAAGATAACTGGAAATTAATAGTAACGCGGGAATTGTGCGAATTCGAAAATGCGGATTTTGCAATTTCGCGTTCGCTTCTGGGTGGGCTGTACATGGGTTCGTAGACAACCCCACGTATTCCTTGCACGCGGTGTTAAATATGGATGCGAACGAATTGCGGCATTGCGAAGCGATCATAAGAAAGACTTCTCTAGACGAATTAATCAAGAGTTATTTTGAATTAGACTACGTAGGAATAAGCGGTAACGTGACGCTTAAATGTGACTACGATCGCGCGTTTAAAATACTAAACGATACGAGTTTCTACAAGGGTAGTATTTGGGAAATCGGCCTTCTGTGGAAAGAGGACGACGCGCCGAAGGTAAACGGGTTATTCACCGCGCAGAAAAGGTTAAATATGTTAGAGCGTAGGCTAGATCGCGATCTGGAATATGCGCGTTTGTATTACAACGAGATGCAACGCTTTTTGCATAATGGTTACGCCCAAAAGGTGGAGAGAACAGCTTTCTATCGAGCCAAAAGCTGTGCTGAATTTCGAAATGCACGGTTAGGCAAGCAATGAGCCGGAAGTTCTACCTGAATCTGTCGGTCAAGAAAAACGGGTAGGCAGAGGTGATATGCGATTGTGCGACGGAGAGGGAGAAAGGGTTCTTGGCATTTATTAAGACACGCAATCGGATCATTTAAAATTTAACGTGGATCTGGCAAAAATACAAACAGAGATTCTAACAGTTGAGAAAAAGCCGACAAAACGCGAATTTTTACAAGTCATCATGTCGGTGATCCACTCGGTCTCCTTGCTCCGTTCACTTTGAAATCAAAAATAATCATGCAAGAAATATGGTGAAGTGGCATCACTTGGGATGATCAGTTACGGGATGAGGAATCTGTAGGTTGGCTAAAGTGGGTATCGATACTTAATAAAGTAAGAGAATGTCGAATACCGACATGCTACGCGTCGATAAGCTCGTATAATCCGGAAGCTCAGCTTCACGTTTTTTGCGACGCGAGTATGACGGCCTACGCGGCGGCGGCTTATTTGCGCTTTGAAGACCAAAATAAGAAAGACACATTTCACGTTTCGTTGATTATGGCCAAAAGTAGAGTCGCACCATTGAAGACATTGTCCATACCGCGGCTCGAACTACAGACAGCTTTGACGGGAGCTAGACTCGCGAAATTCATAGAGCAAGAGCTTGAAATCAAAATTAATCAGAGACTGTTCTGGTCAGATTCGACTATGGTAATCCCCTGGATTAGATCAGAGCCACGGATCCGTCAGGTTTTTGTAGCGAATCGATTGGGGGAAATAGGAGAAAACACTCGAACGGCAGAGTGGCGATGAGTACCGTCAGGTCAGAATCCCGCAGACGATGCGACGCGTTTTGAGAATAACTCCGATTTTGTCAATCCACGGTGGTTCGAGGGTTCGGAGTTCTTGCGAAAACCGGAATCTGAATAGCCCATAGAAATGTGTTTGATTACAAAGAAAAAATCGGCTGTAGATGATTTGGTGCGGCGGAAGGCGTTTGTTTACACCGCGTCGGCAATAAAATTAGAATTTTCATTACCAATAAGGATATTAGGCTGGCGCGGATTGATTATTGTCGCTCGACGGATACGCGCGATTTTCGACCATTGGAAGGGAGAAGCTCGGGTGAAGGAACCGTTAGAATTAGTACGAGCGAGCGAGCAGTATTGGTACTGGGTAATTCAAAACGAGTATTTCGGGGCGGAGATAAATGCGTTGAAAACGGGGAATAGCATCGGTAAAGGAAGTAAAATAGCCAATTTAAACCCATTTATAGTTGAATATCAAATCTTAAAGGCCAACGGATGCGTGACGACAATCTCGCTTGAGAAATTTCAGAATCAATCAATAATTCTTGAAAGTAGACATCACGCAACTAAATTAATAATAGCCGAATATCACCGTCGGTACTATCACGCCAGCAACGACACAGTAGTGAATGAACTGAGACAAAAATATTGTATCATCGGGCTGCGGCGCACCCTGCGCTCTCTTATAAGTCGATGTATCGTGAGTCGTATACGAAGGGGCAACCCGCAGAATCCTCTTATGTCCGCGTTACCGTCGGGACGCGTAGCCTATGGGCAACGGCCGTTTAGCCATTGCGGGGTTGACTATTTCGGGGCGATGAACGTGAAAATCGGGCGTCGTAGGAAAAAACGATGGGGAGTATTATTTACGTGTCTCACGACTAGAGCAATTCATTTGGAGCTCGCGCACACTTTAAATGCAAGTTCGGCAATAATGACCATTCAGAGACTCGCCGCGCGAAGAGGAACACCGCTAGTTATCTATAGCGACAACGTTACTAACTTTCACGGCACGGATAAAGAGCTCAAAGAAGTGATCGCGGACATAGATCGAGACAAAATCGAAGAATACGCGTTATTGAAGTGCGTAAAGTGGGTCTTTAATCCACCGGACCCAAGCACCCCATATAGGCGGAGCTTGGGAACGTCTAATTAGGTCGGTAAAAATTGCGTTAAACGCTATATTGCGGGAACAAGCACCTTCCGAAGAGGTGTTGTATACGTTATTTACCGAGGCCGAACATTCGATGAACTCCCGGCCGCTTACGCACGTATCGCTGGATCCTCGAGACCAAGAGGCATTAAAGCTAAATCATTTTCTGATAGGGGCGTCCTCGGGTGAGATTCAGTTATGTAGATACGATGTAAACAATGTGTGTTTGCTGAAACAATGGCGAGTGCCGCAGAGTTTTGCGATGGCGTTCTGGAAACGATGGCTGCGAGAGTATTTGCTGACCTTGATACCGCGTAAAAAATGGACCGAAAAGGAAGGAACCTTGGAAGTAGGTGACATTGTATTAATTATAGATCTACAAGCGCCGCGAAATAGTTGGAGGAAAGGTACGATCACACGGGTTTTTCCGAGTTCGGATAAACAGATCAGAGTGGCTGAGGTACGCACGCGAACGGGAATCTTGATCCGTCCGACACGGAAACTAATTAAACTGCTAAGTGTAAGAGAGGTACAAAATTAAACGAATTTTGTACGAGGGGAAGGATTGTTACGGACAGAATGTAATAGAAAACAATACAGCATTGAAAAAAGGAGGTTACAGAGGATACCATTTAATACCATATTATTCAATGTATCATTTAGTGCATTAACGATACTTCCAATGGGGAAGTAGGCGATTTCGGGCGCTGACGGTCAGAGTCAGTAGTTCATGGGTTCGCCCATGACTAGAAGCCTTTACGTGCACGGGGAAACTCGTGGCCGTAATTTGCCGTAGCACCGAGAGTACAAAACTGCTCGGGAGCGGCAAATGTTGTTGTAACAGCGGCAGCTAACAACTGACCGGGAGTGGTGACTCCTTACCATAGCACTGAGAGCCCATGCTGCTCGGGAGAGGTAAGAACCGGGCGTGGAGGGGGTAACTCGTACCGCGACCGGAAGGCTGTCTGCGAGATCATAAGCGCCCGAATGCAACGCACCGTTTGATCTTTGTCGAATCTTATTGTTAGATGGGTTTACTAATTGCCGCAATGAGTTGGCGAACTATTCGCGTGTGAATATCGATCACGAAAATAAAGCTGAAAAGTCCCTCGCAGGGTCTTTGTGCTAAAGTTCCGATAGCTCGCGTTTAGGGAAGGAATATCAAACGACACCGTCAAAGTACAGACCGCGCCCATTTGACGGCGAATGCCGAGCGATTATCGGCGAGTGGGCTTTGTGTCTTGACGCGGAGCCGCGAGTCGGGTGCGAAAAGAAGAAACCGCGCGACAATAACCCAAAGGAGGACACATGCCAAAGGCACATGGCGAATCTCGAAGGTTCGACGGAGTTTTGGTGGAAGACTCAGGAGGGGATCAGGAGTTTTATATGCTCAAAATTATTGAATGTGAAACTGGGTAAAACCTATTTCAATATGATTTAATTAAAAATGAATTACACATGAATGTAGATTATAATTACCCAGATAGGACAGGGACGTCTTATATACGTCCATAAGATGTCCGGTAATTCTGAATAGTTCCAAATATTACATACATATTACATCTCATATGTACAAAAAATATTGTATTCCTAATATTGAATAAACATTTTGTTTTACATGTTCAAACATATATTCTGTTGCGAATATTAGAGAAATATGTGTTTTATCTACGGAAAAAAATATTCTGTTCTACATATTGAATAAATATTATATCATAAAGAATATTAATAAATAATATTTATTTTGTTTAAAAAACAAGTATTTTTCCCTAAATCTAGAAAGTTCAGAACGGACATCCCTGGGACGTACAAAATTTAGGTCCCATGGACGTACGTAGGACGTTCCGGGCGGACGTCCCTGGGACGTACAGAATTTAGGTCCCATGGTTGTTCGCAGGACGTTCCGGTCGGACGTCGGACGATTGGACGTAAGCTGGACATAAAATGGACGTCCATGGAACGTCCGGTGCTATCTGGGTAAAGATCTCTTCCCTGTATTCAGACTCATTTTTGACTTCTTAAAGACAACATCTCACGTAAAATGTCTATCCAAGGTAGTGATGTGTGGAATTTCTTCGTGCCAGTAAACAATACTGGATATGCTACTTGCAAAATATGCAAAAAGAAATTATCGTATAAAACAACTACGACAAATTTAAAAAAACATTTGTGTTCAGTGCATCCTACTATTTCACTAGCATGGAGACAAAAACACAGGTAAGCTTAATTAAGATATAATAAATAAATATATAAGTAGTATGGGTGTGCATGTATCCAAAAAATGTATGCATTGAGCAAACTTTCGGAATCACACCCCATTCGACCCGATAACTACGCAACCTGTCTCGATTTGTATTTTCGGGTACCCACACACCCCTAATAAGTAAATAATTATAACTTATTTTGTGTTAAAACGTGTAAGCTAAAATAAAATGAAATGAAATGAAAAATGTAAAAATATAACAAAAATATTTATTTTTGTTTGTACGTATTAACACTGTAATTATCTCTAATCTAAAAACATTTTCCTGCATGCTTTTTCATATATCTATTGATTGTAGAATGTATTTCTCCATGTTTCCATTTTTTCTACCCACAGTCATCACAGTCCGCAACTGATCCTGATAATCCAGAAGTTCCTCAAACTGGACCAAGCAATATTATCATATTGCCAACAACTCAAGACAGTTCAGAACATACTACAAATTCTCAACCTGGTCCAAGTAACGTATTGCCATTGCTACTGTGAACATTTCAGGACACTTCAGCACATACTGTAAATAGAGTAATAATATCAACTCAACAGCGAATTACACCATTCCTACCACGAAAGATGACAACAGCAAACCGCAAAAATATTGATGAAAAATTATTATGCCTGTTTATAAAAGATTTGCAACCTTTTCAAATAGTTGATAATATTGGATTCAAAGAATTTGTACATGCTTTAAATCCAAGTTACGAATTTCCAAATCGCAAATTTATTTCACACTCTTTAATCCCGGCTCGCTTTGAGGAAGCCAAACGTACCTGCAAAGAAAAATTAGACAATTAAACAGTACTAAAGTTTCTATTACAACAGATACGTGGACATCATTAAATACTGAAAGTTTTATAGCTGTGACTGCACATTTTATTAATAATTTCAAATTAGAATCAATTCTTTTAACTTGGGTGCAAATGACAGATTCCCATACAGGTCAAAATATTTCAGATGTATTAAAAATAATATGCAACGAATGGGAAATTTTTAATAAAGTTGACTTTGCTACAACTGATAATACCTCAAATATGAAAACCGCTATTTTAAAATATTGTAAATGGAAATATATTCTATGTTTTGCACACAGTTTAAATTTAATCGTAAAATCTAGTTTAAATAATGATGCAATTAATTTACTCCTTGAAAATGTTAGAAAAATTGTTAATTATTTTAAAAAAAGCACCACAGCTGCAGAAAAATTGAAAACATGCCAATTAAATTCAGACAGAAATGTACAGAAGTTGATACACGACGTACCAAGTAGATGGAACTCTACTTACAATATGATAGGTAAATTTATAGTATTAGAAGAACCGATTAAAGCAACAGCAGCAATAATTAATAAGAACTTACCACAAAATACAAATGCAGAGTGGGAAATATTACATGAATTGACAGTCATACTTAAACCGATAGAATCAGCAACAAAAATTATAAGTGGAGAACAATATCCAAAAACTAGAACAAAAAGATTTTTCAATATGTACGCAACAGATAATACACCATATTGAAATAGGAATACTAGAACGGTTTACAGAAATAGGAACAAACATAATAATACAAATTTGCACATTTTTAGACCCACATTTTAAAAATGCTTTTTTTTTCTCAAGAAAAACTTGATATAACAAAAACAGAGATAATAAATATATTAATTGACAATAGAAACATAAATACAACTGAAAATATAATAAACATAGAAATAGATATACAACCAGATACAGATATAGATACAGATGAATTATCAATATGGGCTGCTTTAAAAGATAAAGTAAAAGAAAATACTCCGAAAGTCATGGCACCATAAAACAAAATAGCAACAGAAATACAGCAATATTTAAGGGAGGAGTTTTACGACAGAACTCGGGACCCATTAATTTGGTGGAAAGACCATCAATTTCAATTTCCGTTATTGACTAAATTAGTAAATAATTTATTTTGCATGGTGGCTACTTCAGTGCGATGCGAAAGATTATTTTCTAAAGCTGGGTTAATTTTAACAGAAAAAAGAAACAGATTACAGGCAGAAGAATTATCTATGCTGTTATTTTTAAACACCAATACATAGTTATTTATTTTTTATTATATATATTTTATTCCTTTGTTATTTTATTCTTTGTATTTTATTTATAATATTTGTATTATGTTTTATCTATTAATTATATTTTCTAATTGTGTTACACTTTGTAAAAATCTAAAGACACTTACAATTAAATTAAAACTTACACTTCATAATTATTGACTTATTTTCATTACTCTTCACTGTTCCTCATTAAAACATTCCTTTATTTACTATTCTTTACTTTACTTTATTTTATGCGGTGTATTTGATGTCTTTAATTACATACTTATGTAGAATATATGTAAAATATACAGGGTGTCCCAAAAATGTTGGAGGTCCTTGAAAAGGGTGGTTCAGGGGGTGATTTGGAACAACTTTTTCCTTAGCGAAATTGTTGTCCGAGGCTTCGTTGAGGAGATATTAACGGAAAACACTGACAAATCAGAGTGCGCGTATACTGTTAGAGCGGCCGCGATAGCGATGGTTACGGGCTAGGTAGCCGCTCTCGTACGCGAACAAGTGACTCGACGTGCATTGAAGGATATTGACGCGGCCGCTCCAACGGTAACGGGAGCGTCCGCGCGCTCTGATTGGTCGGGTTTTTTTATTAATATCTACTTAACGAAGCCCCATCCGACATTTTTGCAAAGGAAAAAGTTGTTTCAAATCATCTCCCGAACCACCCTTTTCAAGGATCTCCAACATGTTTGGGACACCCTGTACAGGTTAGGGTGTTTATCATTACGGCGCATAAAAATTTAGGCTGAAGATTCTAACAACGCATGCAAAGAACAGTTATGTTCTTCACCAATCAGAAGCAATCACGAAAAATCACGAATCACTGTGGAAAATCACCGTGATTGGCAACGAACGTGATCGAATCACGAGTGATTCACAAGTAGCAGTTCTAGCAATCTCTACTAGAGACGCGGTAGCGTTATAAATTCATGAAAAATTATAAAGCCCCGTATATCAGTGCTCGGAATTACTTGCACATTTCGGCCTGATTCCTGAAGCACCACCTTCGGCATCCCCACTACCGGTCTAGGCCCGACGGCCGGCGATCGTACGCGCGACGTTGTTTCTCAGAGATGTACTACAATCTACAATAGATATGTCGGGTTTCACCCGCGTGAGTAAAAATTTCCTTGCGCTGTCAGTATTTTTTATTTTTACAGATAAATAAAGTTATTAATATTATGTTTAGGTTTATAAACATCTTTTATATATACATATAATAACAATAATATATGATATAATGATTGCAATTTTGTCAATAACTTTCCACATCACCCAAGAGGTATTATTGTTTATAAACCTAAACATAATATTAATAACTTTATTTATCTGTAAAAATAAAAAATATTGACAGCGCAAGGAAATTTTTACAAAGCTATTAGAATTTGTCTGGAACTATCCTGCAGGAAGTTTGTGGAAATTATAGTTTGTTAAAGAAGAAAATTAACTCACTCGATTGTCACACATAACTTTATTAACTCCGTTTCCGCGATGGAATTCTCGATCGGCGTATAAATTCCACGCGATACGTCGAAATCGAAGCGAATATCGTCGTTACAGTTCGAGCACAAGCGATAGGCGCGTTGTTAGAGGTGAAAAGACAAACATGTATTAGTTTCGATGTTTTGGATAAGAATGATCCATCGATGACTAGCGGTCGCCGCAACCACGCGTGGCGCGAGGCATGACGTTTCGTTACGTCATTAACTGGCGAGTTAATTAGTCAAATGACATTTTAATTGTATTAAATTAATAAATAAATTTAAATCTATTTAACGTTATCCTAAATGTAATATTTATAACCTTAAACCTTAACATACCGCCCACCTCGGATATACGTATCCGACTGCGCAACAAAACGATAAAACACCGATGGTATTGCGAATTGAATTGTAATATATATAAATATACATAATCTAATTACAGCCACCCGCCGTGACAGAGCAAGTCGACGGTCGTGACTTGCTGGCATTCCCGGAATCATTGGAGTCGCATTCATGTATCTCCACTGGAAGAAAACATAATTTGACGATTGGTCGTTTGAACTCCGAATTCGCCGTTTTAACCGTGACAGCACGGGTTACATTATCCGCTCCCGGATGGCATTTTATTATTCGCGCGAGTTCCCACTTGCTCGGAGGGGCAAGCGGGTTTTGAAGAAGGACAATCCGACTGACTTTCGCCAGATTGTTTGCGATGCGCCATTTTGTACGTTGTTGCAGCGTGTGAATGTAATCATTCGACCATGCCTTCCATATACTTTCGGAGAGTTTCTTTAATAATTGCCAACGAGTCAGACGTGTATCGCGTACATCGAGAAGAGTCACCGACGGAACAGCTGTAATTGCAGTGCCGATTAGGAAATGACCAGTCGGTAGCGCTGTATAATCCTCCAGATTTTCCGAGAACGGAGCTATTGGGCGTGAATTCATACATGCTTCGATTTGACATAGCACCGTAGTTAACTCCTCAAAAGTGAGGGTGTGAGTGCCGATGACACGCTTTAAATGTTGCTTCATACTTCGAATTCCAGTCTCCCACAGTCCACCGAAGTGCGGAGCAGAAGGAGGAATAAATTTCCATGAGACCTGATCACCTGCAATCTTATTAAGGAAATTCGGATCGCGGGTTGCAGTTCTGAACGCTTTGGTCATCTCTCTATCGGCACCTTGGAACGTCGTTCCATTATCGCTATACATAGCGACTGGTAAACCGCGACGAGATACAAACCGATCATAGCAAGCGAGAAAAGCATCAGTTGCATGAAACCCTACTAGTTCGATATGTACTGCGCGAGTCGTCAAGCATATGAATAACGCTATATACACTTTTACCGATTTATATCCGCGACCAGGAGTCGTTCGAACCAAGACCGGGCCCGCATAGTCCACGCCGCAGTGTTTAAAAGCTCTTTCTGCGCAAGTAACGCGTGCTGATGGAAGATCTCCCATTAATTTAGACGGAATTTCCGCTCGATGTCGCGTGCATGTTACGCATTTAAATAGAACTTGGCGAACAGTAGGACGCGCTCGTATGAGCCAGAACTCTTGCCTCAATTTCGACAAGGTTAATTGAAGACCTGCATGTAACAATTTCCTATGCAGATAGTCTATCAGGAGGGAAACCAAAGGATGAGATGTAAGGACAATAGAGTGCTTCATCTCTTCCGTCATTGCTGCGTGACGGAGCCGCCCGCCAACACGAATCAAACCCTCCGAATCAAGATACGGGTTTAGTGAAATTAATTTACTCTGTCGCGAGAGAGGAAGTTTGTCCTGCAAACGCTGCAGCTCTACCGGATGGACCAATCGCTGGATATATTTTAATCAGAAGGTTCGTGCTTTGTGAATTTCGATTGGAAGCAAAATACTTGAACTACAATGAGTCTCCACTGAAACCGTTTCAGCTGAAGAAGTCGATTTATGAGGGTGGCGACACGACTTAATCTGCTTAATGAAGCGCAAGATGTACGCGGTCACGCGGACGAGTTTAGTCCAACTGGAGAACCGCGACGCTAACTCCCATGGTTCATGGGATGAACATACATGGAGAGTTACAGCTCTCCGTTCCTCCAAGGAGACTGTTGTTTCGAGCGGCGGTATTTCGCTAGGTCACGATGCTGGTCGCGATTGAAGCCACGGCGGACCGGACAACCATAATAAGTGATTCATAAACAGCGGGACGCTCATTCCCCGAGAAGCACAATCGGCAGGGTTGTCCTCCGACTGGACGTGATGCCATTGGCATTGTGGCACAAGTTCGTGAATTTCCGATACACGGTTCGCGATAAATGTTTTTCATTTAGATGCAGATTGGTGAATCCATGCGAGAGTAATAGTGGAATCCGTCCATCCATGCAATTCGCACTTGATACTGCCAAATGATGTTCGTATAAACGCCATTAGTCGAGCGAGAAGCAAGGCTCCACATAGTTCAAGTCGCGGAATAGTTAACAATTTGAGCGGAGCCACTTTAGATTTCGCCGCAAGCAGCGACACAATGACATTACCATTGCTCGTGGTAACGCGAGAGTAAACCACTGCCACATAAGCGTGTTGGGAAGCATCCGCGAAACCATGCAACTCTATATTTGGAATCTGCGTCTCGTGTGCTATCCATCGAGGGAGATTCGTCGACCGAAGAAGAGGAAGCTCGATACAATAAGTTGTCCACTTTTGGTGAAGCTCGGTTGGAATGGGATCGTCCCAATTACACTTCCGCAACCATAATTGTTGCATCAAAATTTTAACGACAATAACTACGGGAGCCGCCCATCCAAGCGGGTCATAGAATTTCGCATTGGTCGAAAGAATTTCACGTTTAGTCGACGAAAGAGAAGTGGTTACGCCAATATCAAAACGGAACGCGTCCGCTTCTGGATTCCAATTGATATTAAGTACCTTTAAATTTTCATCGGGGAGTAGTGGTTTAGTCGTCGCGAGACCGTGTTCAGAAGGATCAATATCTGCAATTAATGCAGGACAATTACTTGCCCATTTTCGCAGAGTGAAACCGCCTTTTTTTAATAGAGCCGTTACGTGGTCGCGAGTTTGACGCGCCAATTGTGGATTGTCCGCCCCGAACGCACAGTCGTCAACGTAAATTTGATCTCCAATGCAAGTCAATGAAAGACTGCCAATGCAAGAGGATGATTCGCTCCGTCGTCCTTTGCGAGCTGCTGTAGAACGCGTAACGCGAGATAAGGCGCGGGACCAGTACCGTATGTAACAGTCAAGAGTTTGAAATGTCGCAGTGTATCCAACGGTGAAGGTCGCCACAAAATCCGTTGATAATCAACGTTCTTAGAATTTACATGGATCTGTCGATACATCTTTGCGATGTCTGCTATGAAGACGTATCGATAAAGGCGCCATCGAAGTAACACAGTAGCTACTTGTAATTTTGGACCGATTAATAAATGATCGTTTAACGATTTACCGTTTGCCGTTTTCGCAGACGCGTTGAAAACGACTCAAAGACGTGTAGTCGTGCTGTGTTCGCGAATGACCGCGTGATACGAAATATACACGGTTTGATCGGATGGTACCGGTGAAGAATCTTTAACTTCTACCATATGACCAAGTTTTTATACTCGTATAAAAACTTTGAAAATTCAGTGAAGTGTTTCACAAACAGAAGACGCACTATATATTGCCCATTAGGAGCTCGAGTATGCGAGCGCTGAAAATGCTCTTCGCATTGCTGCTCGGAATGAGAGAGACGCGTAATGGACGGCAACTCCTCGATCTCCCAAAATCGTCGAAGTTCTATATCTAAATTCGATGAAACGTTGCAATGAAAAGTCGCGTTTGAAGCGGGAGACATGGTTGAGGATGAGGATACAGGATCAGACAGAATCCATCCCAGTGTGGTATTCTGAGCTGTTGGCTCTTTAGTCGTACCCTTTCGCAAACCATCTAATAGGAACGAGCCGTACTGATCAGCGCCAATAATCATTTCAATAGGGTCCGAGTTAAAGGGATTTTCATCAGCTAAATCGAGATCACGAATGTGAGAGAGTTTGACATCAGTGGTGACGTGGTGTGGACCATAGCTCGACAACGAGCGTAGAACATAAGCGGTCATGGAGTATACGGACTCAGTCTTACAAGAAGCGATAGTAAATGTTGCTACTGAACGACACGAGATGGCAGTGTTACCGATGCCGGTAATACAGGCTGAAACGCGCGAGCGCGGAATGCGTAATTGTTGCGTCAGATTCTCAGAAATTATGGAAACAACCGAGCCTTGGTCGAGAAGCACTCGAATCTTCTCTGAACGACCCGATGGTGATCGCAGTTCAACTCGTGCAGTTGCAAGTAGAACTTATTGCGTAGCTGTAATTCGCGGTACAGAGCAGGACGCGAACGTAGTGGCGGCAGGATCATTGACATTACAACATTTGTTGATGAACTCGTCTCGTTTGAGGACGCGGTCGCATTGTCAAAGTGCAACAAGGTATGATGACGTTTTTTACAAATTCTACAGTTGTGCGAACTCGTGCATTTCCTCGTTGTGTGGTTCGGACTTAGACAATTTATGCACCGGTTTGCTCCTTTTACGAACTCGAAACGTTGTATTGCGGATTTGGTTTTAAACAACGAACATTGTCCGAGCGTATGATTCGATTTACATAATTCGCAAGTACCTTTCGCAATAGCGGCTCCGTGTAATGACGCGGCGCGTGTTCGATTCGATTTCGTTGTTGATATTTCGCGACTTTGATCGGTCGATCCTGACGTGGATGCCCCGATAGTTTGGAGAGCTCGTATTAGCGATTGTAAAAACGTGTCTAGGTCGCTAAATGTCGGGCATTAAGTATCGTTACCCAGTTGCAACTCCCAAGCTTTACGCGATGCCGAATCTAACTTTTTTGATACAAAGAAAACGAGTATATCATCCCACGTATTGACGGAACTTTTAAGATTCTTTAAAGCGTTAATTGCCATACTGGCTTTATCTCGAAGATTTCGAAGTTGATCGGCCGATTCGAAACGCACTTGTGGTAGGTCGTACAAAGTATTCAAATGCGTTGAAACTAATAGCCGCGTGTTTTCATAACGTCCGACCAAACGATCCCACGCGAGTTGAAATCCCGCCTCGGTTATCGCAATGTTTGTAACAAGATCAGCCGCTTCCCCTTGTAGACATGATAACAAATATTCAAACCTAGAAACGTTTGACAGACCTTAGCGTTTGATGATCATGGCTGATAACCGATCCCGGAAGCTTTCCCACCCATTGATGGATCCAGAGAATTGCGGCAAATGAAGAGGAGGCAACCGATCTGCAACGTTGCTGGATTGATGGACAGCTTCTTCTGCTGGACGAGTCGCTGAAGTATTGGAAGAGTCAGCAGCCTCCAAATTGGTAAGAATTTCCGCCATGAAGTCCGACGTCTCCAGATAGATCTCGTGCAAGGTCATAAAGCGCTCCTTTTTGAAGTAATCCAGGTTATAGCGGTCAGAATCCGTTGCTGTAGCGCTAATCTCTTTGTGTAAATTTTTACACTCGACAAAGGATTCGCTAAGCTGTTCTAATCGATTTCGAATGACGGCAAACCGTCCACTTGTTTTTGCCCAGTTTTTTGAAATTGTCGAGAGCATGCTCGACAACACGAGCGGCTTCGACTTGTTGCTGAAGCAGCGTTTTAAGGTTACCCATAACGAGCGTTAACGAGTCTTTGTCCTGTAACTTTGAATTTTCAACGACTTATTAACCGATATTCTACACCGAATTGTCTTTATTTTATCACAAACTTTCTTCTTTCTTTTCACACTTCACTGCAATCCGGCTCGAAGGACCAAAATTTGTATAGGCAAAGCTATTAGAATTTGTCTGGAACTATCCTGCAGGAAGTTTGTGGAAATTATAGTTTGTTAAAGAAGAAAATTAACTCACTCGATTGTCACACATAACTTTATTAACTCCGTTTCCGCGATGGAATTCTCGATCGGCGTATAAATTCCACGCGATACGTCGAAATCGAAGCGAATATCGTCGTTACAGTTCGAGCACAAGCGATAGGCGCGTTGTTAGAGGTGAAAAGACAAACATGTATTAGTTTCGATGTTTTGGATAAGAATGATCCATCGATGACTAGCGGTCGCCGCAACCACGCGTGGCGCGAGGCATGACGTTTCGTTACGTCATTAACTGGCGAGTTAATTAGTCAAATGACATTTTAATTGTATTAAATTAATAAATAAATTTAAATCTATTTAACGTTATCCTAAATGTAATATTTATAACCTTAAACCTTAACACATAATATTAATAACTTTATTTATCTGTAAAAACAAAAAATACTGACAGCGCAAGGAAATTTTTACTGACGGGGGTGAAACTCGACATATCTATTATAGTACGTCCCTGAGAAACAACTTCGCCCTGAGAGCAACGTCTAGGCTCGGCCGTCGAGCCGTACAACACAGTTGATTTGCCATTTTATCGATTGCACGACGTTTTAACGATTACACTGAATTCGACCCTCTAATAGATATTTAAAGCATTTTTACATTGTTTACATGTTTAAACGGTATATTTTAATATGTCTTTTGCGAGCCAAAAATAAAACAAAAGAGCGACGGACGAGACAACATCCGGACGTCGACATCTTAGGCCTCTTAGACGTATAAACAAATGGTTCTATCTTTTGACTTAAAAGGAGCAAACGAAAATTCCAATTGAGCATTTGTGAGGAAACGATGAGCAAACGTATGCAAAAAGAAAATTTTCAGGGTGCAGGTTTAATATTTTTTCGAAGTCGGTTATATTTTTTTCTAAAAATTATTTTATTGGGATAAAAGTTGCACAGAAACGAGTAAAAAAGGACAAATTACAAAATGTTTTGTTTGCGGGACCAACTGGAATAAATATCCTACAAGATGCAAAAGGTTTCACTCCGATTGGTCAAGCCATCTCAACGTAATCGACGAACATACCTTAAAAAAAAAAATAAATAAAGAAAAATACATGTCGAATTGAGTAACCTCTTCCTTTTTGGAGTCGGTTAATAAAAATAATAATCGCGCAATCTTAATGTGTTCATATGATGTGTATAGACGTTTAAAGAACTAGTATTTATTATAAGGCTTAAGACGCATTTATTGTTATCATTTCATTGTATACAACTGAGATAATTATACGCACTGTATAGTAAAATAGTACAAGTGAATAAAGTAGTTACTTAAAAGCTATACGTCGCTGAAATTAATATTTTGCATTATATTATTCGAAACTCCAAATTAGTGTAATTTTAATCAATATAATAAATAGTGAATATATAATCAGAATGTTATTTCATGGTTTTGCGCAACTTAATTTCGATTTTAATTAAATAATGAAGTTCTTTAAATTTAATATAAAAATACATATTAATGATTTCATTTTCTGTTGTATAATGTATAGTCGAATTAAGTAATTGTTTGTACGATTTGAAATAGTTTTGAAAAAGTGGAGTCATGCATTAGATTTCATTGTCTAAATACTTTTTAATTATTGAGCTACTTATTTTAAGTATAATTAATAAGATTTCTATTCTAAATATAATAACTGCTTTGCAAAAATTCTTAAACAAAAATTTGTAAATGGAAGAGCAGGGGAGCAATAGTTAAAATATTGCATACATATCGAAGTTCAAAATGAAACTTAAATGTTTTGGGTAGGATCATGCTCTGTGTTGTGCGTTATCATTTTTATTATTTAATTTGGAATGGAACGTATTCCCAATATTTCCATTATCGTATGCACTTGCTTTAAATCATAATTAAGACAGAACAAAAACCATTAAAAAAAGTACATCGATTTGAATAAGATTATATAAAAAAAAAGGAGAAAATGTTACATTATACATAACGTGTAAAAATATTTTTACACTTAATAAATTTGTACACCATAGAGTACACACATAGTCACACCCTACAGACATGCAAATTGATTTTAATAAAATATCAATTTATCAAATTTCATTATTGTTATTTATAATTGGAAGTAGCGATTCTTTGAGTTTAAAGGAATTTTTAAAAAAATTAATATCCTTAAAAAAAGGAAGATGAATCGAAAATAGAAGCAAAAAACTAAGCGCTTAGTATATAATTATACAATTAATGTTTGAAAGATTATTTATATCGCGTATAATGCTAAATTTTGTTTACAATGCTACAAACATTCTTTCATGAATACATCGTCAATGATCAATATTCGTCCCGAATGTTTCTTTGAAATTAATCTACAATGTTTGTACAAGATCGTTAGTATAATCACTAAATAACCTGCTTTGAATTTGTAGATATAGAAAAATGTATAGTATCATTAACGTCATTTTCTTTAAGTTTTCGAAGATCGTTAAAGATTTTTTAAACGACGGTATACATTTTTTGTTACTGTAACTTAATATTTAAATATTGTATTATAATTGTTACAAATATATGATACAATATATAGCTGAATTGCTTATAATGATCGTCACAAATAAAAAAAAAGACAGTATAGAAAAACATATGTGAATTTGTAGCTTTATAATTCTGAAGAATTAGACCTTGCAAGAAATGAATTCTGTTCAGCGTCATCATTTGTTGAGATCATGAAAATTCTGCCTATTGCATTTTATTGCATTCTATATCTGTAAATCAAAATATATTTATGTCTTCTGATTCTTGTGATTCGTTGCGTATATTTATAAATTCGAAATCAGTAAAATGAAAGAAAAGAAAACTTTTGTTTTACAAGAATTTCGGTAAGCCAAAAAGAGTCCTAAATAGGTATTTGTTCGTCGTTTATTACCTTTTGAAAACTTTGCCTTCCTTTTTTTTTAAGGTTTAAGACAAAATGTAATATTTTTGTTGTCCAATGAGACATGGATAGTTTCACTTACTACGTTTATGCAGATAACTATTAATTATTTTCATTAATACTAATTTTAAAACCACTCTTTAAATATGCAATGTAAAATTAAGATAATTCTGAATTATAATAATTAACTACTTTCAACATTCCATAATCAAGTAAGCGTTCAGTGGTAAACTGAATCTTTTACTGCTTATAAAACTATTTGGCACTATCCATTGTCGTTGTAAGTATCAAAACTGCGATTAGTAGGTCTGTTTATGTAGTTTCAAGCAGGGAGAACAGATGCAGCTGTATTCATATATTATTAAGCATATTTACAAGAAAACTTTGCACAGAACCCACAGGACAAAAAAATTATCACTCATTACAAAAAATTGAAACAAAAAACGAATTTGGCTTTTAGAACAAAAGTCAAGGGCATAGAATGTACATTTAATAACGAAATGCAATGTAAAATTGACAGTACAAATAATAAAATAATCAAAAGTAATAAGAAAATTTTCTTCTACAATTGTCATGGTGGAGTTTCATATTTCAGTTATGTATAATCTGATGTTACCTTGCAAAATAAAAATTACTTCGTCCTGATGATTGTTATATCTGATTAAGGAAAGCAAAAACTTCACGATAAGTTTGCTGGCTGAACTTTGTAGGATAATGTACAATGTATCTATAACATTGTTTAAATTTGTATCGAATATACTTAAATGACAATTTTGTGTACAAATTATGTACTACGATAATCATAACCGTTAGTGAATACATGGAAATGTCTTAAACGTTTGTTATTGATTAATGCTAATTACTAGAAGACAATTGTTTATTTATCACTGATTATATGTGTTAGGTAAAATTAAATGAGAAATAAAAGAAACGAAACATTAATACCTATCTGACAGTGGCAAATTTCTTGTATACTTCGCTACGTTATTACTTCCGTTTCGTGCTTCGCTCGATTAGCGATTGATTATCTCGGCACTTAATCGAATTGATTATTACGACGCATAATTAACAGCCGAAGTTGCGAGATTTGCGGACAACTGAAATTTCTCTTCGTCGTCTTATTTCTATTCAAAAAGAACATTTGAATATTGTGTATAGTCTTTTTTCGACACATACATATGAAATAATCATTATTGTTATAGTAAATTATCTGATAACAAAAATGTGGTCGCTAATGCCTGGAGGCCTGCGACTTTAAATAATAGAATTAAAAAAAAAAGATCCATATTGTTTTCATTACTGATTGTTAATTTCGAGAATACTTATGTATAACATTAGTACAATAGTGTTTGATGAGAAAGTTCGTAATAATTAAATTGCGAATGTTTATGCATTTATGACAAATGAGAATATGGGTAAATTTATGAGAATGTGTACAAATGGAAAAATATATAATATATCAACAATGATGTATATGTTATACTGTTCAGAAGAGAAGACATACTTTCATTTAAGTTTCAATTTCTGTTCCAAATTTGTCTCAAATATGAATTTGCATCAACATCCGCAGTCTACTAATGATTTGTAGATTTTTTAATTTTACGAAATATCAAATCTCCGAATCAAGACAATGGTTAAACTTTATTTTGGGCACCAAAAATTATGAACTTTTTTTTGTACCATGTTTACAATTGAATGGCATTACCGACCTAATTACCCACCAAACCCACGGTCAAAGCCATTATGGCGTCGGATTAACCAACTAAACACGTCAAAAATGCTCAACTTTACACACGCGTATCTTTTTAACTGTTGGATTCCTAACATTTCAACTTACATTTTCGTAATCTGGCCATCAAAAATTACTAAATGGTACAAAAAAAATTCATAATTTTTAGTGCCCCAAAGTAAAGAGCACCCAAGACAATATTTAATTAATCCATTAATTTTACGAGATGTCAGATTTATATCGCCGAATGGAGACAATATTTAAATATCCTCTTAGATTTGTCCGTATGTAAAATTCCAGCAACATAAAAACAATGGGTTTTTTGTGCTTAGTAGAGCAAAATTCGTCTGTCAACGGCCTTCCGGCATATCGGGCACTCTGACATCCGGTCTCCACACATTTGGCAGGTTCCGTGGCCGCATAGGAATATCATGTTTTTCAAACGATCCAAACAAACTGGGCACATGGTCTGTAAGAATAAAAAAAAACGGAGGAAGTAAGTATTTCGTAATATATGTATTTATTTCTTCGTTCAAATGAATTCTTTGCGAGTCGTGATTATTAGATCATTTTTGAGATTATTGTTTGGAAACCCATATGGTCTCTTGCAATGCATTTCTTTTCTACATATTACTACACATTTTAAGTATGTAAAAATAATACGTCTATTATTAAAATTACAAAAACATGTATGCTATGGGAAGTCTTATTAAATATTACTAAAAAAGGTAGTTGATATTGGATCATCCAAAAGCAAACAATTAAACTGATTATTAAAATATATTTTTGTGGTTATCTTTTGAACAATTTTTTGTTATATGAAAGAAAGATTTATGAGAAAAGTCTCTTTTTCTTTCGTGCATACGATAGTTACCCTTAATCATCAAATAAATTAAATACTCAAATTTCATTACGTTAATGCTACCTTGAAGTAATAATTATTTAATTTGTAGAATTTGATTAAGTTCGTATTAAACAAGAGTTTTAAGATGTAAAGCAATTATTGTACATCCAGCAATATCCTTTTACATCTACCGAAACTGTATAATAATTGTACACTTTTATTACCATTAAATAGTTTTCTTTAGTTTTATTAAATGAAGTTTCAATATTTATTTCATGGAATTGATCTAAAACGATTAAAAGACTTTATAATGTTATAACAGTAACACTATTGTTAATATTATTTCATTTTTTTATCACGTGTATTTCTTGAAATTTCAACGTCCTTTTTTGATTTTCTTAAGTAGAAATAAAATTTTTACGATAATGCGTTAAATGACAAGAAAAAGTCGAACAATGCGTTACGTGACAATATTCGAAAAATAGCACTTTGAATAATTGTTCGCTCCTCTTAGATAAAATGCACTGTAATTTAAACGCTGGATATTTTTGATACATTTCATATTCAATACCTGTTCTTTGATGTCTTGAAGTTGCTGTTCGAGTTTCTCTATATCGCTGAGCGTTTTATCTATGCTTCCATTGTTCATAAGAGGCTCCCCAGTAGCGGTAGCTTGCTTGCTTGTCGTCGGTTCTTCTTCTGGATCGCTTTTTACGTCTGAGATGTTACCTTTTTATTATATAATAATTTGTATTTTTTGTAACACAGCAGATAATACAGGGTGTCCCAAAAATGTGGTAATACCTTGAAAGGGGTGGTTGGGGCGGTGATTTGAAACAACTTTTTCCTTAGCGAAAATGTTGTCCGAGGCTTCGGTAAGGAGATATTAACGGAAAACATTGACCAATCAGAGCGCGAGTATGCCGATGAAATGCCAGCAGTAGGCGTAGCTACGCGCTAGGCGGGCGCGCTCATACACTACCGAGAGCGTTTCATCGGCATACTCACGCTCTGATTGGTCAATGTTTTCCGTTAATATCTCCTTACCGAAGCCTCGGACAACATTTTCGCTAAGGAAAAAGTTGTTTCAAATCACCCCCCGAACCACCCCTTTCAAGGTGTTATAACATTTTTGGAACACCCTGTGTAATAATAACACTGTCCAATACGAATTTTATTCTATCATATCGACTATGTGATCCTTCTAGGGTTCCTCATCCTAAATACGCATCTGGAAGCCAAATTGCTTTATCATGTCCAGTCTTCGAAAAACACGAGGTTTTGTAAAATTGATCGATTTGTAGAGAAAATATAAACTACGAACGCTAGAGAGTTCTATTTAGTCTTAAAAGATAGAGGAGTGTTTTCTGAATATGAATATACATATTCATTGGATGTCCCCCTTCGCAACGAACAACTTTCATTACTGACTTGTTTTGATCTGATCCATAGCTCCCAAGATATCTAGAGACGCGGTAGCGTCTCGACGCCAAGTACATGAAAAAATAGCCTCCCCGTATATGCCTGGCGCTGGCGCTACCGCGTATCTTTTACTCGAGAAAACGCGATTCCAACCTAACCCGAAACTTCTGTCATTAATATCTTGTCACGCCTGCTGTATTTTTTAAATCTAAAGGCATTTTTTTCATGTAAATCGCATATAAGCTTTCGAATAAAACCAAACTCAATAAAATCGGTCTACGAACGACAGAGATATCGTAATATCATATCATGAATGTGTCAAAAACTGCAGCATTTTCCTTTTCTTTTGACAAGGAATTTTTCGTCAACACTTAGCCAATAGGACCTAAGGCCGTTCGTCGATTCGTCGACTCTCGGAATCGTTCGGCAGAGTTCGTGGTGGCCACATGCCGCTCATTCATAACCTGTCAAGTGTCAAATTTTTTACACTATTGAATTATTCGTGTACTTTTTTAATTTCTTTATACCAGCAAAATGTTTTTAATATACTAACAAATTGCAGCCAGAGTTGTAAAGTGTTGATTAATTTTAATTACGAGGTAAGTTGCCAAATCTGAATTGCCAGATATCTTTATCCATACCAGAAAACTGTTTTTAATTTAGATTTATCCATACCAGCAACCTGTTTTGAATTTAAACTCTTTTATAAACAATTCTGGTATCCTAATCCAATTCTTGGATGAGAGGGGAGCATACAAGCATGGCTTTTGCTGTTATATGGTGTGGGCTGAACGCACAAATCATGAACTTGATTACTATTTTTGTTTATGCAAAATTTTCGGATTTAATAGGAAAGAGAAAAGGAATATAATTTATCCGAATGTATCATCTGTTATTCATCCTATTGCTCATTCCAAAGAGCTACCTATACCTGTACAAACATCACTATCAACTACAACAGAAACGTACGAGAATGCTGTAGAAGAGTCCGAAACGATCATACAGAGAATTATGAACACGAAATACAGTATCCGTGAAACTACCGCATTTAATTAGTCAATCTGATTTTAATGATCTTGTGCGAGCAGGATGGAACAAATATTACATATTTTAGAACTCGATCACATATATTGCAGCAGTATTTTCATACAAACGAAGGACTTGGGGTTTGTATTGACGTCAATTTACTAGCACAAGCAATAACAAGCAATAGGTTTTGAACATAATGAAACAGAATAGCAATTATTTATAGATTTGTCAAAACGAAGCTTGAAAGCTATATAGTACACAATGGAAATGTACACCCATCTATCCCCATAGCATACTCTACAAAAATGAAAGAATGTTACAACACACTAAAAACAGTTTTATGCAAAATACAGTACAGCAAATATGTATAAATGGAACGTTTGTAGAGATTTGAAAGTAATCAGCATATTGCTTGGTCTTCAAGGAGGTTATACAAAATATTTTTGTTTTCTTTGGGAATGAGACAGTCAAGCAAGAGATTAGCATTATATTAGAAAAAATTGGCCATCAAGAAAAAAGTTAGTTCCTGGAGAAAAAAAATATCCAACAAATAAATTTAATAGATTCAAATAAAGTATTTTTATCGTCATTGCACATTAAATTAGGCATAATGAAAAATTTTGTGAAGGCAATGAATAAATCTGGATCTGGATTTGCATACTTAAAAACAAAATTTCCACAAATATCTGATGCCAAAATTAAGGAGGGAATATTTGTTGGCCCCCAAATCAGAGAATTAATGCAGGACGACAACTTTATAGGAACATTAAATAAAGAAGAAAAAAGTGTATGGCTTTCCTTCTAAAAAATTAATGAAAATTTTCTAGGAAAACATAAATCAGAAAATTACAAATCGATAATGAACAAACTTTTAAACAGATGAAGGAAACTTGGCTGCAATATGTCATTGAAATTGCATTTTCTATTATACATTTGCATTTGGAGTTTTTCTCTGGAAATCTCGGTGACGTGAGCGACAAGCATGGGAAACGCTTCCACCAAGGCATATCAACAATTGAAAAACGATATCAAGGGAAAGAGATGTCTGCAATGCTTGCAGATTATTGTTGGACACTAATGAATGAAAATAAGGACGCACTTTACAAGTGCCAAGCAGGACGGAATCATTTTTAAACAATATTGTGTATGGGGATATGTCCCAAGTAGGTAATTCTTCATTTTTAATATTTTATTTATACTGCAACTCAACAAAACGAAGACAATTTTCCGCTGTTTAAATTTTAATCATTAATTTCCCATTTTTATATCTTCAATTATTCGACTTTTGTTTATTTCGTATTGAGCAAACTTTATTCAAATTTAAATTGAATTTTAACAATTAATTCAATCTATAATTGTACGTTTTGTTGTTAATTTTTAATGAAAACTGCTATCTAACAAATTTCTCTTTACAACAGATTTTACTCACCAAACACCAACTTCAATAAAAAAGGTATAACTTTTCATAAAAATACATAAGTATTTCGTGAAAAGTTCACGCATCAGCAACTTTTTGAATTTCGGTATTCATGTATAGGCATTCAAAGAAGCAAATAATTCTAAACGAATGTATCTACATATTTATAAAACACTCCTCTATCTTTTAAGACTAAATAGAACTCTCTAGCGTTCGTAGTTTATATTTTCTCTCAAAGTCGACCGATTTTACAAAACCTCATGTTCTTCGAAAACTGGACATGATGAAGCAATTTGGATTCCAGATTCGTATTTAGAACAAGGAACACTATAAGAATTTCCTAATGGATATTGCAAAACCTAAAGAAAATTTTAATTTGTTGGACAGTGTAATTTTAATAGTAATTATCAACACTTTATCTATCGAGATAGACTTATCTATAAGCTTTTTAATTTCAATGTCCATATATTGCAATCTGTTAACTGTGTTGATGGCCATCTACTTATAAATAATCAGTGTTTCTCTATTCGAAAGATATATGCTTGAAGATATAACACAAAAATTGATTTTTGAAAAACTTTTTCTCCAAGAAACAATTTTATTATTATTATTATTATTACTTATTATAAACGGGCAATTTGTTGAAATACAATATAATAAAATATATGGATCTAAAAATAGTCATTAAAAAGAAATGGAATGAAGGAAAAATGATGAATGAAGATGAAAATGAAAATGAGGAATGAGGAATGAGGAATGCAGAATTAAAAATGAAAAAAAATCGCAATTTTTAAGGTAAACCTTGCGTTTAGGGGAGGCATCTCCGATGACCTTGACCTTGACAATAGGTCGCCTGTTTTGAATTATTTATTTTCTTTTTTCCGATTGGTGAAAATGGCGTGCTTACCTGAAGTATTGCATCCCTTAACGTAAGTGACGTCTCCTGGACCACCGCAACAGACGGATAGGGGTATCATGTGTTGAATCTGAGCTCTGCATTGGACGCATTTCTTCATAAGGGTAGCGCAACCTTCGCAAGCACATATGTGACCACATGGACGAAATAACACGCCAGCTTTGCGATCGGAACAGACTACGCACTCCTCGATCTGCAAAAAACAAATATGTCGTTTTTATCAATTAAACAGAAATTTAATTTCGATTAAATGAAATAGTATGATGATACTTTCGCCACCAATGAAACATTGCAAATTAAGAGTTTCAAAAACATTCATATATAAAGTGATATCGAGTATAATTAATATGTCATTCAAGTAGAATTGTAAAAATATATTGTGTGTATAAAATAAAAGTAACCAAATACTGAGTTTTACTTATTTGATACTTTTTCCTACAATAATTATGTAACATTATTATTATTAAAATCTCCGTGCCTTATTTTTTGTTTAGACTCCTACAATAGTATAACAACGTAAACGTAAAGTTTTGTTGAATTTATTGTATTTTCTTTTGATAATTTTTTCTTCTTATTTTTACCTTCTTAATTTTGGTTGTAGTTTCAAGTTCAAATATAATTGTAATCTTTAGCTTTATTTTTTCATTAATAAATATTATATACTACACCTAAGCACTCAAGGGTTCTCCGGTTAGTAAATAAATAAATAATGAATAAATAGCTATATTGTATTGAAATACCGTTAAAACTGGATTCTCGCATAGAAATACTTTACCTTCACTCTCGATAGAACGTTCTCTCGGCAGATCAAGCATTTTTTTACCCTTGGTGCGCAAGTGTTGCAACAAGCGACATGTCCGCAGGGGTTGAAAAGCATTTCACGTTTTCCATCCGAGCAGACCAAACACTCGTCGATCGTCGCTGATGGGACTGTCGCTTCAATATTGTGTCTGAAAGTATAGTTACGTGTATCGGATATGAGAAAATAAATATTTGTTCCCTATTCGCGTCGAAGCATGCGATAACAAGGCGATCAACAAAATTAGGTAGTAATAGATCAGAAAAATTAGTTGTTCATTCTTTTGATAAATTAGCAATATTTTATTAATGTAGTCTTAGGAAGAATCAAAACACTTTTAGTGTTTCTATACGATTATACCTAAATTTACATTTTGTTTTGTACTTAATTTTATTGTCTACATATACATAGACTTTATTGTATTATCGTATAGGCTCTTAGAATTCTCTTAGAACTCTTAGGTTTCTTGGATGACTCTCAGAATGTTTATGTTATCATTTAAATGATGAAGTAGAAGAAAGTGATAGTATAAAAAGTATCAATTTTTTATAAATGGAAAAGATCCTGTATTATTTCAACATTTGATTTCGGCTGAGTTATATTTTAAATTCATTATTGTAATTTTTAAGTTAGGCTAAAGGTAAATGAATGTATAACAAGTACAAATTTATTATGTGTCAAACAGTTCCTATATTATTCTAACGTTTGATTTTTCATTCGGTTATTTATTGAATCCATAGTATAAAAAGTATCAACTTTTTATACTATCACTTTCTTCTACTTCATCATTTAAATGATAACATAAACATTCTGAGAGTCATCCAAGAAACCTTCCACGACAAATAAAATTTATGGAAGCTGGCCAAATATACTAGAATATTTTCTAAATTCCTCGACTCAAATTGCGTTAATTTTCGGTGCCACGTTCGAAACTCCACAATGGACCGTGACGTTTTTCGTGTTACAGGGATGAAACAGAATAGGATTACTAACGATTCTCTGTCCTTATGGCAAGTGGTTAACGTTTTGCAGAGATTCGGATCCGGACATAGGTCAAGAGGAGTCTGTCCCTTCTTGTTCTTCAATTCCAGGTCGGCTCCGTGGGCAGCGAGGAAGCAGGCAATGAACGAGCTGCTCTTCTTGTCCTGGCCCTGGGCGCCCAGACCCATCAGGAGGCGACCGACGTCCTGGACGTCTTGCAGTTGTCGCAGCTGCGACAACGTGTGATATCTCAAAGCTTCGTGAAGAGGCGTGTCGCCGTCCTTGTCTGCCACGTTCAAGTTGGCGCCCTCGCGTACTAGCAGCTGCATACAGGGATTTACGATCCGCATTTAATTATCGAAAACCGATGCAAAATTAATCTGTCATTTCTATAACATCTTAATATGTACGCCATCGTCCTTAACTACACCGACGATAGTAACTTCTATCCTAGCTTCGGCATACACCGCCAAATGATGAAATGCGAGCACTATCTTTAAGGGGTAAAACCACTCTAGAGGCAGAAAAAAAGACCTAAATTTGACAATTTATTTTGGGAGTGTGACAAATGGAATAGAATTTCTTTTTAGAGGGTTTATCTAACACATATTGAAGAACGAAAAACAATTTTTTTATTGTCATTTACATACAAAATGGCGGCGACAGAGCCAGTCGAACAGTGGTTTGGATGGCCGAAAACCTGGCCAAAATGGAATTTTTGAAGTTTCGAACACACTTTTTTCAATATTGTGTGTGTGTGTTGTATACATATGAGTGCATTAGATGCTGCTTGAAATTTTAAAAAATAGTAATCGGTTACTGATATACAGAGGTTCAAAGATGACGAACTTTCATGCTCCTTGATATCGTGAAAAATGGCGCATGTTTATTGTGTCATAGAAAGTTTATCCTCAATAGATTCATATGTAAATCATTTTACCATAAAAGTAGATGTTACAAATATAAACTTTCCACAAGAACAAAGTAAAATATCTTTGGATTCACTATTGTAATTCCCTTTTCAATATGATATAAATTTTAGTTATCTTTCGATGAATCGGAAAGAAAACAAAGATGATAGTCACCGAGTGACACGCTCTGTCAAGTTTCTTGATATAAAGAAACATGTCAGATATCATATCCAATTGAGAAAACGTGGGCAAATTTGTGCCATTTTAAGTTATTTAAATTTAAAGTGCCAAGTAGGAGTATTTACAATCTGTCCAACAAGCATAACTTGTTGATATATCTGTAAAGGTTAATATATTAGTATAAAACTTAATATAAAATGAAAAAAGAAGTATGCAAAACATGTTTTTACTTAATAATGGATCTGAGATTACAATTTGTCAAAGTTTTGGTTACAAGTGGCTAGATTAATGTAGCCTACTTTTGAAAGATCTACTTTTCCATTTATTTAAACGAAACTGAAGACTAAAAACAGCATTC